GTAAAACAACATTTTTGGAGTGGTTCCAGTATTTCTATGCAAGCCCAGAAAGCCCAGGAGAAGCCCTTTAGAAATAAGGAAGGGAGACTGGATCTCTTCTGTTGTCCTGATTTTTTTCCTTCTCTTTCTCCATCTCCTTCTCCACTTCTTTTCTCTTCCTGTTCTCTCCTCACCCGTGCTTGCATCTTTTCCCATCCTTGCAGCATTCCGCTTCTGCTCAACGCTCTACCAACACATCTTCACTGCACTTCATAAGGGACTTTTTCAAGTTTCTTTACCTAAACACCATTACCTAAACACCATGTTTTTCACTGCTGAAAACTTGAATGTAGTCCTGTGACTAGAAATTATTAGCAGCAAAATGAAGACCATTTCCTTGACTTGACTTCAGATCCTCTTCAAGGAATTTCTTTGAATGTATGTGACCCATCTGTTTGGGTCGCCTCATTGTGAGGACTCAGGCTGCCAAAAAGTGCCTGCTGACTTGGGCACGGGCATCATGCTGAATCATAGCAAAGAGGAGAGGGGAGGCAATGGCTCAATGGGAATGGCAGGGGATTGGAAGTGGATGGACTTTGAGGTCCCTTCCAACTCGAGCCTTTCTATGATTATATGATAAAAGGCAGGAGTCTGATTGTTCCCATGTAGCCTCCCCAGTTCGTACCTACAGAATAGTGCAGCCATTCTGTGGCTCCAAATCTGACTGTGATATCCCATCTATCCCATCACTGCAACACTTGGGCCAAATATATTGCAAAATATGTATGCATGTATTTATCTTATACATATAGGCAAAATATCTATGTACGCAAAATACAAACAACTATGTCTTTTTTATTATATTTTGCTTCAAAACTGGACTCATTTAGTTATAGACAAGATTTCTGCTGTTATTTTTGTCACTGAGATGCAGATCATTTCCTGCATAAGAATCCTACAAAATGACCTGTTCCAATCAATTTTACCTCTCCTGTCTCTAGATTTGTACATCACTTCTTCATCGTGGCATTTGGCTTTATTTAACCATGCTCTTTATTGAATTTTCTTGTCTTTTGAAGAGGTAATATATTCCCATTCAACAAATGAAAAGGTTTATGTCTCCCTCCAGAGATTCATTTCTAACACAGGGCAAGATGTCACACAGATTCACCATACGGGAGTCCCACTGGGACCTCAGTAGCACCTATAGGTTTACAAGCATTCAGTATTCTGGGGATTTTTGCACCAAATAGGATAGAGGTTTGCTGTTCAGCCTGCTTTTTTTTTTTTTTTTCTTTTTCCCCCCACCGTTTCAGTAAAACAGACAACTTCAATTTTATCAGTGAATGTGGACCTTTACACTGGCATACAGTGCCCTAACCATTTACTGCATTGCATCTCCCAGAGAGATCATTCTGGAGAATTTTGCACTGGTGAAAAGGCAATGAGTATTTAAAGACAGAGTGAGAAGTGGAGTGAAAATCTGAGAGGAGGGGGCAGAAATTCTTTCTGCTTGCAAAAAAAGCAGATAAAGATAGAGGCTGATGGTTACTCTGTGTCAACCATTTCAACAAAGAATGATTGAAACTGGAGGCTCCAGCAGGTCTCCACCAAATCAATAGTCCTGGGGCCTTTGATATTTAAGATGTTTCTTCAAGTTGTGTCAGCGCTGATCTCCCTGGTGTGTAGCAAAAATGGCTCCTCTGCAAGCTGCCGGCCTTGGAAAACTGCATGCTTTTCCTCTTCTCTTAAGCATTTAGGAGATTCTTGTGGTGGGTTTGTTTGGAAGGCTGAGCTTCCTGCCTGGCATATCCAGCTCCTTCTGAGATGAGAGACAAAATCTTTGTGGTTTTGTGGCTTCATGTGCAATCATTTTTTATTACATTTGAAGGACAGGGTGTTCTTAGCCCGTTCTCAGCATCTCAACATGAATCTTCTCTTTTGAAGTAAAAAATCCAGGTAGCTTCTGGATTTTTTTTCTACTTTAGAAATGAGATTAAGGTTAGACACATGTTGTTTTTTGTGTTTTTTTGTTTGTTTGTTTGTTTTCTATAAACTATCAGGAGCTTAATATTAAATATTACTGTTTATTGGAATAATAAAAATGACGTGGAGATCACCAGCTTTACACTGCAAAGACATCATCACAGTTTTCACATTCAGCAGTAGCAGCAGAAACCCCAAACCAAGGGGGAGAATAAGACGTGTTGAAGTCTGCAGGATTCGTTGTCCATGTGGACAATGAGCTCAGAGAAATACATAGGAAAAAGATTATCCAAAATTTAAGCCTTAGATTGAGTACCTCAGTGGTATGTTTCAGTGCATCAGCACATTTAATGCAAATTAATCCAGCCGTGCTCTCAAACTCTTGTAAATCCTCTGCATTATCAAGCACATCATGAGTAGCAATGGAAAATTTATCCAATTCTCCTGTGGCAAAAGGTCAGAGTCTTGTATTAGCTAATTGTGGTTGCACGTTTGTTCTATATTTAAACATTTATGGCAATGATGACATTATAAATACTGAATACAAATCTGCCTTTTGCTTCCCTATAGTAATTTCTTTCCCTGTACTTCTTTTGGACGTATACAAGCATCCTGAAAAAACAGGATTTTTTTTTTTATTATTTCTTTTTTTTTTTTTAAGGAAGAAATAGCAGTCAAAACCTATGGTATTGAAATGATACAGCAGAAATGGACAAATTGAGATTTGTTCATCCTACCCTTTGTTCTATAATTTTGGAATGCAGCAATCTGAGACTCCACTTGGTTGTCACATTTATTTTTAACACTGACGTCTAATAAAGATTAACATTAGAGAACTAGGGATTTGTGTTCTGAGTAAGTTTAGAAGTGCTAAATATAATTTTATTAACAGTGCTTCCTGTTCAGATTGCCTGAGAAGTGTTCAAATCTGCTAGCAGAGCTACTTTCTTGGCTCTCGTGTTCACTTATTGCTTGTCTCTGGACAACCTAACTGTGAAAAATAGGTGCTAAAAGAAAACAGATCTGATCTGTAACACATGATATGAATTTGCATGGTCTCTTGCTTGAAATAATTTTGTTGGCATTTGATTCACTTCATTGGATGGGTGAATCTGAAGGGAAGTCCAGCAATCAAAACTGCCATCAAAAGCAAGAGGGGTTTTTCTAGAAATACTTTTTTGATCATAATAAAAACGGATTTTTTTTTTGCAAGATTTGATAAATTGCAGTCAGCATAAGTTGTTCCTTACTTCATTATCATTTCTTTCTGTGTCACCTCACTAATCTTCCTACTTCCATCAAACATCCTGCTTTGATTTAGATCAATGTCAAATAACTTTATTCAAACAGTTGTACTGAAGTTCATATGCCATTTATTCAAAATGAAAGAAACTAAGAAAAAGCCTTCACCCCAAACCAAAACCATTTTTGTCATCTTCAGTCTGCAGTAAATGCAGAATTTCATTCTGGTCAAAATGCATCGTTGTACAGCAGAGCATCATTGTACTGATGCTGTTCAATAAATAACCAGAGAACTCAGTAAATAACCTCAGAGATGAAGGAAAATGTTTTTCTTTATTTTATGCGGATTGTTTAGGCCTTGGTATCCTGTCTCCATGACGATTAAATGGTGATCACAGACTTTGTGCAAAGATAATGAGTCTCTGAGTCTCTGTGTGAAATGCAGAATTGTGCCTTTGGAAAAACAAGTTTTACATGGGACTGAAAATACTTGTGGCTGCAGGGAAAATGAATCTTCACAAATCTGAGGACAGAAACCCCGAGTGGTTTTAAAAAAGGATAAATACGTGCATATGTATGTACATACATACTTATTAACATGCATACTTGAGCACACCAGTATTGTGCCTACAGCAGCGAATACAGACCTGCCAGTCAGATCCTGCAAGAGCAGGGTGCTTTTCTGAGCACAGTAGCAAAGCTGCAAAAATTGAGATGTCCACAGGTGTTCTGGGAAAGCTGTGAGACATCAGGAAGTTCATTCTGTCTTCTTTCCTGACTCGATTCAATTCTACAGTCCTAAACTGTGTCATGCAAACTACATGTCGTGAAGTTGTTCAGCTTCGTTTCTAGCGGGCAGTAACAAGGTCTGTGGTGGTGATGTGAGCTAACTAAGAGGCTTCGTAGGCCTGTGATGAGATTCTCTCTTGTTTGCTAGTGTGGAGAGGCAGGGGCAGCTGGGGGTTACGGAAAGGGTCTGCAGCAGAGGGCGGTGGGCATGGAATGGGCTGTGCAGGGCAGTGGGCGCAGCCCTGAGTGCCGGAGCTCAGGGAGTGCTGGAGCACTGCTCTCAGACATAGGGTTAGGGTGGTGCTGTGTGGAGCCCAGAACTGAACTTGATAGTCCTTGGAGGTTTCTGCCAACTTGAGATATTCTATGATTCAGCGACAAGAGAAGATGTCCAGAATGGAAAGGATGACTCAGTTGTCATTCTTTCGGGGATTCCTACCTGTTGCTCAGAGCTGGGAACGTCTTGAGACTCAGAAGTTACCAGGGTAACACTGGTGAACAAGCAAACAGCTTCCCTTCAGCCTCATCTCTGGAATTTGGGCTAAAAATAAGTGTCTGAGGCTTAAGGTTAAAAGTAAAGACGTGACAAAGCAGTGCAGTTATAAAGCCAGCTCTACTCATCTTTTAAAAACATCCAAGGACTGCCTTTCCCAATCAGAGGCAGTGCATGTGTTACTACTTATAGAAGACTTCATGAAAGCTGTACATTAGCTAGAAACATCTTTTGACTTGAGAGTAATGCTGATAGTTGTGTTTTCCCTTCAACAATAAGTTTTGGAAATGGCCTTTCAACTTAACAGCATACCCTCGTAGCAATCAGCATTACCTGGGTTGAGTAGCAGTGGTTTGAGAAATCTGGCTTTACAGCCAAGCTCTTGTTCAACTACATGGTGCTTTCCAAGGAGGAAATTTGGTTTTAAACTTTTCTGAAGGTAGGGTGGTGGGCCCATGCAGCTAGCTTAGGACCCTGCTTCTAACCAGCGTATTTGCCTTCTTTACCCAAGGTCCAGTTGAAAAGTGAAGAGACGAAGACGTTTGCGATGAAAATCCTGAAGAAACGTCACATAGTGGACACGAGGCAGCAGGAGCACATCCGCTCGGAGAAGCAGATCATGCAGAGCGCGCACTCAGACTTCATTGTGAGGTACTGTCCATCTGTCCATGCTGGAGCACAGCCACAGAAGCTGATCAAATCCCATAGGAGTAACCTATGCACCATTAAAAGGACACTTCAGCCCTAGCTTCCTGCTAGTGACTGCGAATGCAGTTCATAGAATAAGGTCCAGGCTCATAGGGAATGGGGAACTTCTTCCCAAACCTAAACTAAACCTGTGCCTTAACTGGTTTGCTTGGGCTCTTGCTGACATGGCTGTGTGACTTCTGGAGCAAACCCACCAGCAGCACAGAGCATGGGCAGAGTTTGCTGCTGGCAGTGTGTGATGCTCTGTGTAGGCACAAACACTGCAACTCAGGGTTTGCCCTGCTCAATAAGCATTTTCCTCTTCATTCTGAATTTTCATGGCACAAAAAGGAAGCTGGAAAGCAGGGTTTAATGTTTGGAGATCCTGCGCTGTCATGTGAATAAATAGCTGTACTACTCTTTAGGGTATACTAGCTCATTAGCTTCAATTCAGGATCCATTGACTCATCATGAGTAAATGTGCTAAAATCATATGCCTCCTGAAAACTTAAACAAATGCAATTCTTCAGTGAATAAAAACAGGTGCCAGTCATTTTTATTTGTTTTTACCCTAGCAGCTGAGTATTCTGATGCTTTAAAATTATGACTATCTGTCATCAGGAAGCAGAGACAGTTTCTTACGTTTTAGGTCAGGATCAGAACCCTGGGTCAGAACGTCTTACGAAGTAACGCATCTCCCTAAACTGGTGCTATCTAACAGGAAGACATCTTGTTTAATCCAAGGATGCTTCAGGATGCCTGAAGCCTTTGACTTTTGCTGGAGGAGATAGATCCCTCTCCCAAAAAGAGCTCCAGAGAGGCATACTAACTCAGGATGGAAACCAGACCCTGTGACAGACTGCAAGGGCAAGTGTGTGGCAGAGCCGGTCACCCATCAGCTGCTAAGGGGGTATTTCCTACACATGCAGAACTGCTGCAAGCATTGGCTAAAAGCCTGCCTGATCCCTGGGATTCCCCAGAAGCCCAGGCTTCACCTATGTGTGATTCATTGGTGACAACTGCACGCTGACATCGTACCCAGCTGCAGTTTCCTTCACACTGTAACATTCGATTCACAAACACTCTCCCGTTACCTAGGCTAGAGCCAAATATACCTTGCAGGCTATTTCAGCAAATAGATCTATTTTCTGAAGCTGAGCTGGCTTAGTATGTCGATGTAAAGGGAGGTGAAACACACAGGCAGCAGACTGGAGGGATATCTTGACACCATTTCCAAAATACCCATTCCTAAATAAAAGGCTGAGCCTACGGACATTTGCTGATAGAGCCACTATGTTCATGGCTAATAAGATAAATACATCAGAGTTTCTTCATTCTCACTTTTTTTTTTACTCCTTCAATAAGCAAGTGGAAAAAAAGGATGCAGTAGCCACAGGTCTAGGGCAGAGTGCTGAGAAACAGTGATGCAATGAATGATACCAAATTTTTTCCTGTTCCAAACTAAGCCCAAAAAGGGAAAAGGTTACAAGAAGGCACGGTGAAAGAACAACCTTTTCCTCTGTTTCATGGCCTGGCAGTTTCAATCAAATCAAAACCCAGCTTTTAGGATTATGCAGCCTTCCCAACATTCCTCCAACTTCACTTACCTGCTGCTGCTGTGTCCAGTCATTCATTCATATGTGTCTCTTGTGCCAGTCTGAACCTATAACATCACTATATATGTATTGATATGGTATACTTTATATAATTTTACTTGCACATACATAAAATGACTGTGAAACACCACTCATAAAGCAGGCGATTCAGATGAAGGCAGTGTCCCCAAACTCAGTCTACTCTTTTCTTTCCATATCGTGCACTAATTCCTGTTCTTTATAGTAATAAGCCTCTTCTAGATGCTTTTACTACCCCTTGGAAATCCTGCACTGGCATGGGACTTAAGCCATAAAGCCCAACTTACTGCATAGGCTGGAAACTAGAAAATCTTCACTGATTTATCAAACTCTCCTTTTCCCCATTGCTTGCAGCTCCAAAGGGATTTGTTATTGTCTCCTAGTTTGTGTCTTAAATTTATTCATAGCTTGTTTATACCCTTTTTTGGGCCAGGCCTGTAGCTGAGCTAATTTTTTTTCTGGGTACTGCAAAAAAATGTACCATTTTGGTAGACTAATTGTGTTTTGAGATGTTGGGTGAAAGGTGGATTTGAAATGATCTTGAAACAGGGACACAGTCACTGGGATATCAGGATGAGGAAGACAACATTACTGAAATAATATTTTCCTATTTCGTCATTAAGCTGTTTGTGAAAAGTCTTGGAAAAGTATTTTATTAAAGTGATTTAAATGCATTAAACCAGGCAAGATGGCAGAAGAGGCCAAACAACCCTCAATAAAACTTACTGATACTAAAACTGAGAGCTTTACAGACCAAAACACAGTGTGTGGATTTGGTGAAGGGGTAAAGCCCCTTTACAGAACAAAACACTGTGTGGATTTGGTGAAGTGTTAAGCCACAGATGCCTGCAGGAGTTCTACAAATATTTAGATGAGTAAGAAAATGAATAAAGGAATGAGTTCCAGTATTGTGACATCTCAGACGTCCGACTGCTTGATCTGCTGAAATACTGTGGTTTCATACTTCACATTGTACATTCCATGTGTAAACTTCGTGCTCCTATCAAAGTCAGTAAACAACATTTGATTGGCCAGATTTGATGCCCTTAATGTTTTCTGGAAAGTAGTTTTTCTGTAGAGCTGCCTTAGCTAGAGAAAGTAGTGCCTTATTTCAGTGGCCTTTAAACTAACAAACTATCTAAAATATTTAGTTATTCGTAATTCGTAAATTGTACGGAATGGTCAGCTAGTTTGTTTCAGCATTTCTGGGACAGATACCTGGGGTTTTAGGTTCTAGGTGTCAACATGGGTAATATCACAGTAAAAGAATCTCTGAAACACAGGTTCAGTTTTCTTCCATTAAATTTTCTTTGGGCCACAAATAGTATATTTTAGGTACAGAATATTTCACAACTAGATAAGCACTGAGTGCATTCAGTGATTTGCCTTTTTTTTCCTGTAACCACTAATGCACATGAAGGCAAGGCAAATTAGGATTGATCCAGGCAGCAGCATTAGACCCTGTCCTAATCAGCACATACCCAAAGCCTTGCCTACATCACTTTCTTAATTGTTTTTTTAACCTCTGGATTATCACATAGACCCATTACAAAATGTTGAACTGTATTTATCACTAACTTAAAAGACCTGATAGATTCCCCTCCCCTGCCAAAGCCTTTTCTCCTTCTCCTGTCCTCCTGCAGGTCTTTGAGATACTGCTGCTAACCTCAGAGCTCTGGGGGGGAGAACTAGTTTGATATTAAAATTTAATAAAGCAGCTGACAATGAATTCCACATTGTGCTCATTTCCACAGTTTTCTAGTTGTGTTGTTTAAACCATCGCATTAAACACAGAGCTGAGATTTCGCTGTATGCTTTGGATGACAGTTGAGAAGGAGGATGGGTTTATGAATGTGTCTTTAGGCAAGTTTTCCTTTACACTGAGTCCATGGGAGGAAGAGAAAGGGCTCTTTTAGATACCTAAAAGTCAGCAGTTCTGTTTAGTTGATCAGCTCAGTGGTTTTAAGGTCTGAAATGAAAAGTCAGACAGCACTTCCTTGAAATGGTTAAAACAGCAGATCTACAGCTGTAGCTGTAGTGTGAAGAAAAAGATTACATAGACATAACTAAAGTGGTAGGGAAACTTTCAAGAGAATCTGGAAAGCCAAGTGTCAGGTTATGCCATTAGAAATGTCAGACAATTTAGTACTCAGAACAATGATGACCTCTCCTTTTGCTGCAATACACTTCATTCAAACGCTCATCCTTCTCTGCTGAATTATTTCCCTCATGATGCAAAGGACTGATGAGGACTGAACTGACCTCCCTAAGCACAGCAGCAGCTCTGTAAGACCCCCTCATTCTTGTGCTTCCTGACATGAAGCACATGGTCTGTGAGAAGTGGGAATGATTGGTGTTTGACTTTTATTGTGAATTTTCTATTATTTTCTTGTTCCCCATAGGCTCTACAGGACATTCAAGGACAGCAAGTACCTGTACATGTTGATGGAAGCCTGTCTAGGTGGAGAGCTCTGGACAATTCTCAGGGACAGGTGAGTTTTAAGCAATTGTTGTTATGACAAGTGGAACATTTTTTAATATGCCTTTAGATAACCAGGAGCCTTTATCCTTCATGGGCAAAACCTGGGTCTTACCATTCTGGGTTTAATTTACGTCCCCCAGACGGTGAAGAAATGATGTTCTCCTATGCAGTTAATGAGTCAAAGGGAATCCAGTTACTACTGAGAATACACTTGGAACTGATTTAGGTAGTCACCAGCATGGGAGCTAAGATCATATATTGAAGCTATAGCTGTGCACCATGGGGTTGGGACACAAAAGTGCCATGGAAAGTCTGAAAGCATATAACAAAATACCATGTCGCAGTGCACAAGCAAATGTGGTGCTGGTATTTCCTGCCCCCAGAGGATTTGAGCTTGTGGAGTTCTGGTTTGGATGTGTGTGTGTGGAGGGAAGAGGGCGGTGGCTGTGCAGTGTGTGTGGTACATGACGGCACTGCGGGCACAAATCACATGCGGCCATGTGGTAGAATTTAATTGGAACACAGTTTAGTTACATTTGAAAAGCAAAGGAAATGCATTGTAAAGATTGATGAGAAAGCAAATATAAAATTCCTTTTAATTAATTTTCCATAATGAATTTTTATAACTCTTTCCTTTTCCTAACACCATCTCTGGACCATTAAAATGAGCTACTCCGCAAAGTTAGCAAGTGCTGGAATGTATTCTTCATCTTTGTCAGAGCCTGGTAATTCCACCTTGAATTCTCTCAGCTATAAATTGTGGTTCTGCTGCCATCTAGCTTAGAGCTGCCTTTGAGTTCAGCCACCAGCTCAAGGCAGGCAATGGAATGTGTTGTGCTTCTGAAAACTCCTTGCAAACTGTACTGAAACCAGCATCTGAGAATGCACCTTATGCTGAATTTATGATTAACACTTACCAACAACTGTGTTTTTTCTGTCTTTTGTCTCAGTCAGGAACATTATTATGGGAGCTCTTGATTTCCATAGCTCAAAATCCTTTTCTCACCCAAGAGTCAAGATTATTATCCAGAAATAACCTTTTGCCTACAAAATATTTATCTGTAAATTTTATTTTTTACAAAATGTAAAAGAAAACATTTTAAATTCAAATGTTTGATATGATGTGCATATAAATTGATGTGTAAAAGTCAGTATAGCAGTCACTTTCCGTATACTAAGTGATTCTTATGACCTGTATAGATATTTCAGCAGCAGGATGAAGTCTGGTAAATGAAGAGGTTGGGCTGGCCTACTGTATGGTTTTAGGCTGTTCAGAAAAATAAATTTTAAAGGTGAGTTCAGCTATAGGTAGTATAAAAATAGATTAATTACAGGTAGAGTAGCTCACTCCTTGCAAGAATCTAGCCCTGACTTCACTACAATGGCACTGATAAGGACATATTTTAACAGCTCAGTCTTGCATGGACAAATCTCTTTATTGTCTTTCCCTTTCTTGTTTTACATAGAGGTTCGTTTGAGGATTCAACAACCAGATTTTACACGGCGTGTGTAGTTGAAGCTTTTGCCTATTTGCATTCCAAAGGAATCATTTATAGGGACCTCAAGCCAGAAAACCTCATTCTGGATCATCGAGGTTATGCCAAACTGGTGAGTGCCTTCAATGTCTAGTTTTGGAAAAGAAAAAAAAAAAAAAAAAAAAGAAATGACATAATTCCTGACTTTTTTCTAGTGTTACACAACTAGTATTGTGGGTAAAGAACATAGAATTAGACATAAGGGATCAGAAGAAGAGTCCACCCAGCCCACTGTCCAGTTCCTTAAGGGGCCGCTAGTAGATTTTGAGTTACAGTCAGGGCCAGCATGTCATCACTGATGACATCACTGGGATGTTTTCCCAACCTCCTGCAGACTGAAGCTGAGACTGAGCTGGAGAACACTACTTCTGGCTCTGTAGCCAGAATTCAGCTTGAAATTCAGGGCAGCAATCCTGAAGTGGAAATGCTTAGAGAAGAGAAACAGAAGAAATCCATCCAGCTATTTTTGAGCTACTGAAAAGCTAAAAAATGTGGGCTTGTATTTGTGAGCTTTATAGGTGTCAAGTGAAAAATATTTTGCAAGCTGTTGTTTCTGGGTGAGTTCCTTTGTGTAAACAAACAAAAAAGTCGTTCTTAACGCAGATTTTAACCATAGCCTTGTTGTGGCACAAAATGGTCTATCATCAGACTTCTTACTTGAGAAAGCAAGTTGTAATTTGGTTTGTCTTTATTTTTAAAAATATGATAACTTCTGCAAGCTACAGAGAGGGGAGAGGAAATAACAGACTTTCACAGAGCGGGTGGTAAGGCACTGGAATAGGTTGCCCAAGGAGGTTGTGGATGCTCCATCCCTGGAGGTATTCAAGGCCAGGCTGGATGTGGCTCTGGGCAGCCTGGTCTGCTGGTTGGTGACCCTGCACATAGCAAAGGGTTGAAAATAAATGATCATTGTGGTCCTTTTCAACCCAGGCCATTCTATGATTCTTTGATTCCCTTAGTAAAATGTGCTGCATCACAGGTTTTTGGAAACCCCCTTTCTAGCTAGGGAAGATCAGGACCCTTGGGAAGCTATCAGTGAAGGATGCAGCCCTAAAAAATCTGCGTCCCAGGGGAGCTGATGCCCTTTCTGAGGGTCTCAGTGGGGCAACATCTCTGCCTCTTAGGCTGGAGTCTCTTCCCTGCCTTTGGAAACTTGGACTTGTGCTCCCAGGGAGCAGTAAGTCAGACCATCACCACTGTGGGCCTTTATGGCCCAGTAGCAGCCAGCATGTGTCACTGTGACCCTCAGCTTTACGAGTGACAGCAGAGTTTGTCCTCTGCAGCATTCCAACGAGGGTTCTCGTGAGGTGGGTTAGGTACCAGACTGTCCTTTTCTCCACCCCGGGAGGATCTAGCCCAGGAACTGCTAGTCCCATCACCGTCCCTTAGCTCCTTAGACATTTTGATCTTCTTGGTTGCATCCATGATAAGCAGGGAAGTCTCTCGGATCCCGCAGCATGACTGATCTTCTTGTGGGACTGTCACTGTTTAGTATGGCAATTTAGGATGCAAGTGCAGGAAGATGTAGGAGCATTTCAGCCATCAAGGGACAGCAGAGTGTGCTACAGACCACAGCTCTGGGCAAGCACATTACCAGGGCAGGGGAGGGCAGAGCTATAAATATACTAAGCCTATTAACCCGAGTTCAGCTCAGGCCCCAAAGGATGGCTTTGGTTCCCTATGTAATCTCATTTACGTGATTGTCTGTAGCATGCTATATCTGTGCTATAGGTTGTAAGCTGAGCCCACCAGTGCACTGCAGTGTTTTCAGATGAGTTGATTTTACTACACCACTCTTTGATGAGAAGAGAAACCTGAACTTTTCACTGGAAATTTCAGAAAGTATTTAGCCCAAAAAGTTCTTTGCACAGGGACTTTCAAAAAAAAAAAAAAAAAAAAAAAGTCAACCCAAGCTTATGTGAGTTACATCTCCAAGAAGTGTTCAGCATTGACATTTGTTGTTCTTCCCTCACAAGGATCTTCTCTTGGCATAATGAAGGGTAAATCATCAAAAAGGTCAGTGCAGTTGTCTGGTTCTTGAACAGCCCGCAGTGTTTTGGTTGTAATAATACTCCCACCAGGAAATCTTCCTTCTGCTTTGCTTCACTTCAAGAGAAACCGAGCGCATGGCTGAAATTCCTCCTCTTGCTCAGCTCTGATGCTATTCTCCTACATTTGCAGGTTGATTTTGGCTTTGCAAAGAAAATAGGATTTGGAAAGAAAACATGGACTTTTTGTGGAACTCCAGAGTACGTAGCCCCGGAGATCATCCTGAACAAAGGTCACGATATTTCAGCAGACTACTGGTCACTGGGAATCCTAATGTATGAACTCCTGACTGGCAGGTATGGGCATCAGAGATGGCGTAGCTGCTGAAAAAGGATCCAAATATTTCTGCCATTGTCACCTTGATTAGACGACAGGAAAGATTCAGAGCAGGCGCGTGCTACAATGGCGCAGTGAAACTTCAGTGTTGTGCTGCTGAACCTTATAATGAATTTTTCTTTTTAAGTCAGTCTCCATGCAGATCTCTCAGAAGGCAACATATGAGCAGGCGTTTTAGGAAACGTGTGAAATGATACTGTATTCTACCCTAATTTTTGTTACTGAGCTCCTGTAAAATGAAAATGAGCTGAACATGATGGGGAAAAGGTATATAATTCAACTATGGAGAGAAAAAGCATGTATATTGTAGCAGCCCAAAGCAAGCAAACTCTAGCATCCACTTTTATCTACTTACTGCTCTTCTTCACTGAACTTGTCCCTTTTCTGTTAAACCATTGGAAGCCTAATTAATCCACACTGAAAGCATGTCACAACATGAAATAGAAAATAAGGCAGCAAGCACATCTTGGCTCCTTGTTCCTTAGGCTGCTGGGACACAGGCTGTCTTGGAGACAAGACATTTGGCATATATTGCTCAAGGAAATATGACTTTACTCTTTGGTACTTCCTTTCAGACAGCATCACTTAAATCCAGGCTATAGCAGAGCCTCTTGGATGTGGAATTGTCATAATCCATTGCTAGTTGATGTCTAACTTTCCTCAATTCTCAGTTCCACAGTAGGATACTGGGTTTTGCTTGGTGTTCGTTTTTTGTTTGTCCGTTTCCTTCTTTAATCAAGCTTCAGTGCTGTTCTAAAGACAAATTTTTAATCTTTTTTTTTTTTTCTTTTCCCTCTGAAGTCCCCCTTTCTCAGGCCCAGACCCAATGAAGACCTATAACATAATATTAAGGGGAATTGATATGATTGAATTTCCAAAGAAGATTGCCAAAAATGCTGCTAATTTAATTAAAAAACTATGCAGGTAAATGCATGAAATATAATAACTTTTCTCTTATTTGTAAAGAAATGAGTTGTTGGAAGGATTAAGAAAGTAACCTAACTTGTTATTTATTTTACAGGGACAATCCATCAGAAAGATTAGGGAACTTGAAAAATGGAGTGAAAGATATCCAAAAGCACAAGTAAGTGAATTCCCAGCCATCCAACGTTTTAACCCCCAGAAAGACACATTTCAAGCTCTTTCATTTTCAGCAAAACCCACATTTCGTAACGTCCTTTGACCTTCCCCTCCTATTGTGCTTTAAAGTCTAACTGAATTTGTGTTGGATGTTTTTTTCCTTGTATTTTGGTATAGATTCCAGCCTTGCCTATGACCAAAACGCACTGCACATTGACCATTATACTTGAATTACTTGAATGCAGAAACATGTTTGGAAACAATCCAACTCTGCCACTGCCTGCTTGCGTTTCTTTGGTTTGCTGAATAATTTCCCAAAGTTTCCCTCCTCCCACAACAAACTTAATTTCCACCCATAACATTAATTCATCAAAGCTTTTGGTCTGACAGGAGAGAGTTCTTAAGTTATATTTTATAAGCTCTGTTTTGCCATAGAAATTTGTTGCAGAGTTTTCACGCTATTTGAAAGGAAAAGACAAGTTAGGGACCACCACAGAGTTGGGTTACCTCAACCATCCGTGCTCATCCTTCTCTGCTTCCATCCCCAAAGCAACAGAAGTGCATTGGATGGACATTGTGGGGGTAGACTCAACTCAAACTCAGGCCAGAGCTCACCATTCAGCCCACACTGTATTAGGCCATTAGTCCATTAGACATTTAGTGTCTGACTATATGGGAGGGATTGACCATATAGGAAGGAAAGAGCAGCTGCAAGGACACCTGCAGTGAGGAGCAGTTTTCTTCTGAGCACTGATAATTTGTACTTGCTGTGGTGTCCCCACTAGCTTGCAACACAATCCATTTTCAGCCAAGAAAATGTATACAAACATGATTGCAAAAATGATAAGGGCTAATTAGGGAGTTTGAAGAACATGGCTGCAGGAGTTAAAAGCTACAGTTTAAGCAATTTAAATTTCACCGTCTGATATTTTAGCCACATTTCTAACTTCCCGACCTGCTTTATTCTTCTCTCCCTTACAGATGGTTTGAAGGCTTTAACTGGGAAGGGTTACGAAAAGGGACACTGACACCTCCTATAATACCAAGTGTAAGTTTTACTGCTTTTTTCTAGTTCCCAGCCAATGTATCTCTGTAACATGAATTTTGTGAGCTTTGGACACTAGTATACTATAGTGAAGTGGTGACAGCACGTGGTTTATTTCATCTGAGTGTGCTTGTCGAACAAAATAAAGCAAAACCCGATTTAAGAAGTCAATTCAGATACACTTCCACTTATACTTTGTCTCCTGGCAGTTTCTTCCAGCAGACGGCTTTTTAGGGACATAACTGTGATGAAATCCTCGTGGCTGCCTGGGCAGAATCACTCACTACTACATGGTTTTCTCTTTTTCACCTGCTGCGCATGTTTCTTCATCCACTTTGCACATTCCAGCAGGGAGCTGCTACTTTCACCCCTTTTCTCAGATGTGTCCTCCTTTTTCTCCTTTACTCTTTTTTTTTTTTTTTTTTTTGATGGGCAAGTGGGATTTGTGTGCCATCTCCCTTTCTTTTGCATTAACCTTTCCTTCTTTTCTTTTGTGCTTGTTACCCTTTTTTTCCGTGTCCTACATGAAAAGCCCTGTTACTGACTGGTTTATGTTTAACTGGGAGCAGACTCAGAGGTACAGCTCTACTCGTTTTCCTTTGCAGCAGAGCTCTTCCTTTGATGTCTTTGTGAGCTCTTTACCCACAAAGCCCACTGCAAAGGGAAACCAAACAGGATTAGCTGATAGAAATTACCTTGGCCCCTTCTGTTTGGCAGCCTCTCCTCCTTGTTTCAACTTAATCCCTTTCTCTCCATGCCTCTCCCAATGGATCAACGAGAGAATGACATTAGCAATCGTGTTTAATTGCACCCCTTTGCTCAGTCTGCCCGTGGTCCAGTACCTCCTGCAGCAGCAGCAGGAATGGCTCCAGAGTTGAATCCACCATCCCAAAGTTCTCCTAATGTCTAGGAAAGAGCAAAGGGGTTTTGTGTCTCCCCTTTTCCCTATGGGCTACCAAAGTCACTGGCAGCCAGCAGAAGAAATGCCTAAGGCAGAATCCCCAAACAGCTTGTAGATGTTCTGTAAATCAAAACTGCATTTTTTTTTCTTTAAGCTGATTTGTAATGACTGTTAGTTTTCCAATAACTTGTTTGCCACATTTCAAGTCAGGCAATGAAATCAGGTTTATTTCTTTATATTAATTTCAGTTCCTTATTTACCCGTGCATTGTGCAGGATGCTAGCGTAGATGCAAACGCCCAGGGAAGTTTTTGTAATTCTTTTAGCGGGTTTTCAGCTTAGCAAGAGCATTTACAATGCTGCTTTTACCCAGTGCATGTATCAACCCTGCAGGTCTACCCCTCCGACCGAACAACCAGCAGTGGTGACTTCAGTAGTACCTGGTGTCCATGAGCATAAATGGCTCCATGTCACAGCTCCACCACCAGAAGTGGTCTCTGCCCCTTTGGCACTGCCGAGAGGAAGGCCGTTCTCTGGTGTTTTTTGCAGGAAGTTACACTTCAGCTAGAAACAACATGATGTCAGGAAAGGATTGTGTGAGCGCCAACACTCTTTGTTAGGATTATTTCTTGGCATCCTCTCCAAAATATACTTCCATTACTAAGTGAACCTTACTGACATTTTTGCAGCCCTGAAGCTGTCAGTCCCACTCAGCCTGATTTTCCACTGCCAGCTCAGCTTCTGTGGCACAAGTCCCAACTCTCAGTAAGGACCATATCTGGAAAGCCACCCAAAACATGAATCTCTGGGAGAAGAAATCAGTTTTTCCTTCCATCAGTGCACCTTCCCTCCTTAGCTGGGAAGGAGTCAGGACAGCTAAACATGGAGACTAGCTTTTTTTGTTGTTACTATTTATTTATTTCAGAAATAGGCCTCTTACAGCTCCTTAACTCTTAGTACTAGTAGTAAAGCAGTCAAAAGCTCTTTAGCCCTCACTCCATGGGGTTTTAGGATCGAACTCAGTTTACAGCCTGCTGCTGGGATGTTGCTTCAGGGAGCAGCTGACCCTTGATACCACAGGTTCAGTCTATCATGACTCTTCCAAAGATGTGCTGTCTTGTATCACAGCTTTTATGGCACAGATCTCTGTGCCATAATTCCTCACAAGATGTTGGTAAGAGACCAGAAGGGTGGTGCCAACACTTGTGCTTTATTCTCTCGGATGGAGATGCTTCTCCCAGAGATAGAACTCACATAGGGATGTGCTGAAAGAAACAGAGACACATGGATCAGCACAAGGGACCATGGAGGAAAGCAGAACTCAGAACTCAGCAAGGATGAGAATCGTACGGGTAAGGGTTCTCCAACACGATGGTGCTGTTACCAACAAAGTAAACAGACTTGGATAACTAAAAAAAAGAAAATGAGCATATCCATAATACAGTTGTATTGCTTTTTGTTTCTTTGTTTTCACACTGAGTTGAATATGCAAGGAGCTCCCCAAGACATTTTCATCAGCTGGTGAATGCAGCTGAGTAGTGAATTATCCAGTATCAAATACACCTCATGGACTGTAGGTTGGCTAAAAAATAAGGTGTTCCCTGCACAGCACTGCTATGTCAAGTGCAGTCCTCTTCAGCCTGCACTGTCTGCTCAAGGTGCTGCTTCAGTATGACGTTGATTATTTTGGCCTTGGAAGCTGCTGGCTTATTTTTTTGTTTTATTTTTTTCCAATTGTTTGGAACACATAATGGTCTCATTGTAAAAAAGTTTAAGTTATCACCATGAAGAGAAAAAAAAAAAAAAAAAACAACAACAAAAAAAGACCAACAACAAGAAACAATCTAGTTACAGTACATTTTAAATAACATTATTTAAAAAAAAAAGAAAGGTACATGGTCTCAATAAACCTATTTAGAGGTTGAAACTCAGTCTTGATAATTGGAAATTCAGAAATGCTCTTGGAATATCAGTATCTCAGATAGGCTCCATGGGCTGAAGAATACTCAGAGGCCTAGCTCACATCCTCAAATTCAGGATCCTGGAGGCATAAATTGGGAATTCTGGGCTTTGGGGAAGAAGGGTGTGCCTGGCATTCCAAGTCTTTTCTGCCAACCTTATCCCAATTGCTAGAAAAGTTCTTGAGGTCTCTCGAGGCCCTAGGTCATTCACATCAATAGGAACTTTGCTGGCCTGCTGCAGCTAGCATTTTCTGGTCCACAGCTGTATTTCTGGGACCAGAGCAAATAAAAAGAGTAAAAAAAACCCCACTGAATACTTTTGAATGATTGCTGTTGTGAGATGAAGAGATCTGTAGAGATTCCCAAAGACAGCTCTGTTGACGGTCCCCATCTCTTTCGCTCTGTCCTTTCCACAGGTTGCATCTCCAACAGACACAAGCAATTTCGACAGCTTCCCTGAGGACAACGATGAACCACCTCCTGATGACAACTCAGGATGGGACATAGATTTTTAATGTATTTCTCTTACCTGCTTCTGCCTTGCTGAAGACAGCTTTCTGGGACATGGCTGCCAGCGAAACTGAAAGAACCGGGGAGGATTCGTGCTCGGGGTCACCATGATGCCTTGATTGATGCTGCTACAGTAACTACAGTGGCATTAGGACTTATTGCTTAGATGACAATAGTGCTCTTCATGTTTTATGTTCAGACTTAATCTAGCAGTTGACATGGTGGTCCTGACGCAAAGCCTTTCACCAGTAGAGAAATATGTTTTTTATCACCACAACGATCTTGCTACGCTCCAATTACAAATGTTGAAAGATTCATAGTGTAAGACACAATTAATTCTAGCTGCGAGGTACTGGCTTTATCAGTAGGATCAGTAGTAATTTATTAAGTGCTGTAGCTAAATACAGTACAGGATTTGGGCTTCTCTCACACTCAGCTCGGTAGGTCTTCCACTGTTGGCCAGTCCAGGAACAAAGGAGGACCACAACAGTGCTGGTCAAAGAGTTCATGTCAAAGCAGTGGTACAGTTTGTCCTTTTTCTTTCCAAGCAGTATTTCATGACAAGACTGAATGTTACTCTTCGTCTTTCTTTCTGAGATTTTTTTTTTAACCTGGTGAAACAAAAGCACAACTGCTCTAGATCCTGTTGAGGCAGATATGGGTCGCTTCTCTCATACAGCCGAGAACATAACGTAACATGACGTTTGTGTTTTTTTCCTTTCCTTTGGTAGAAATACGTAAGTGCATGAAAAAAGAAATCATAACATTCTCAGTTTCACATATAAAACAGTGCTTAAATAATGGTCCTATAGTAAAACGACAGCAGCCAACCGGTCTTACAGTGAGCTATTAGGCATAAAACTAAGCTTAACTTGTAACTTTCCAGAACCCAAAGGAGAAATGTAAGGCCCATAATGCATTTTATAGGTGCTATGTACATCCCTCATCTGTGAATATACCGATTCAGTCAGCCACCCTTTCAGAAATATGAAGCAAGAGGCATCATTCTCCATCATTCTCTCAGAACAGATGAGTTTATGTCTCCGTGTCTGCATCTCTTCCATGTTAATTACAAAGCCGATGAAGACAACAGAATATGTGATGGAGGGCCGGTTTGCTTGCTCTGTTTTTAAATTGCCCTTAAAAATGTAATCCTAATGCCTCATTGAACTAAATCAGAAGGAGTTTCGCAGGAAAGTCAGTTGAATGACACGGAAACCTGATATTTCTTGTGTTTGTGTGAGATTTACTGGCCTGCCTTATCTCCAGCACACCATGTCCCCAGCGACCGTGTTTAAGGCCTGGGGATGGCCAAAGCTGAGTCGACTCGTATGAAAAAAGAGAGGAGGAAAGGATGATGGTGTGTATACATCTTCCCCTGGCTTCCACAACTTTTCCTTTGCTTTATTGAAGCCTCTTCTCATTTATACAGGCATAACAAGGGAATCCTGTTCTATATGCCTACTTGTGTAGTACTTGGGACATGAAGCGTATCCCTTTGTACCAACAAGAAACATCAGATTTCCATCTCTCTAACGGACCTCTCAATTAGCAAACGCTGCCCCATTTGATCTCAAGAGCTGTTACATACACTGGCAGTCAGAAGATCAACTTTTGCTAACCAATGTTCAGAAAAAATTATTTCTCCAGTGCTGAATCTTTTCCATGTTCCTATTGAAAGCGACCCACTTAATAGAGCATGTTAAAAAGATGTTTCCTCCGCTTCTTTTAGAGCACCCGCAGTGTCTGCTGTTTTCCAGCAGCCTACAGAGCTTGCTTGTCATGGGCCCCTTCAGACCCAGTCCGTTGGCTGAATTTTCTCCATAGTTGTGCAGAAGGGAAGGGCAACGACATCTGCTCTTGGACACCAGGTTATTACTGTGCTCGCTCATCTCATGTAGCAGTATGTTAAGATTCGTTTGCCTTGAAAACTGTAGGGTAAAGACAGTCACTGCATCTACCAGGTATTTCCTGTATAGGACTAGCTCTTACTTTTCCACAGAAAGGTTGAAAACACTGAAAGCAAACGCTGAACACTGGGGCTAAAATACTCACCCATTATCCAAGCAGACAGGCAGATGGGCAATGGCCGCACTATGGCTGAGTTGTTAACCCACCTCCTTCCAGATTTTCACTCAATGCTGTGCGTGCCACGGAGGAGAAAAGTTGGAGCATCTTTTGGCTTTCTGCAGAACAGACAGGGTAGGCTGCCTCAGTGTGTAACTGAGCAGCAGAGGTTCAGTTGCCTTTGAGCAAAGGATGGCCAGGAGCGCCGCAGCTCTCGGTGCAACTCCTTATGGGAAGAAAGGTTTCAAGGGGCTGATGCATTGTTTTCTTCCTTCCTGCCTGTTTTCCTTGTGCCACACACGAGACCTGAATCGTGTGGCATGCACTGTACTGAAAATAGATTTATTTTGGTATCAGACACCTCACTCAACTTCTTCCATCACCTCTACTCGGCACCCTTTAAACAACAAACTTAGCGTATGTATATTATAGACGCCTTCATTTATAAGTAATATATTTGAGTTGCATAATATATATATATATATATATATTCACAACTGATTGCCTCTGTGTTCCCACTTACTGTCCTTTCTTCTTTGTCTCCTTTTTTGATATATGGGACGGCGGTGTATTTACGTAAGGGGATATCAGCTCCCGTATTTAAAGCAAGTGTATTACGGTCGGTGTCATAAGAGACAGATGATCTGTAGCTTCTTACAGTGCTGCATTATTCATAGCAAACTCTTATTTAACAACAGGACCACAAGCAAATATTTCTGTAAATAGATATTTTCGTGTTGATATTTTGTGGTACTCATATAACTTTTTATTTAGAGTTCCATGGCATTACTTCTTCATTTTCTTATTTGTAATGTAATGTTTTTAGATCCAAGTAGACTTGAATTAATGTCATAATTGTCAGTATTAGTAAACTTTATGTCGACTGTACTGTTACTCATCGTCCCATAGGTTTAGAACACGATAGCTATCTGGCATTGTTGCAAGTGCCTTAAATCCATGGCATCCTATAACAAAATACAAATTTGGTGTTATGCTGCATGACAAAGACAAACACACCTCAAAATGTTGTCCTTTCTTAGCTTGCTGCTTTTTACAGTTCTTTCTGCTGACAATTTATAAGCCTTTATTATATAATATTGATGAACTACAGAAATGATGAAGTCGTTCTCTTATTTCTGTTAAATGTACCAGAGCTGTGTATCTGTTAATGAGATACAGAGTCATTTCTGTGAAATGTATAAATGTATGTGCGGGTCAAATTAATATATGACATCCTATCAGTCTGTACACAGGTATTCCTGTTCCGCTATGCCGTGCAGCTCCAGCCCATCGTGCAGTCCAGCTCCCATCATCTTTTATAAACCCACACTCAATATCCCGCCCAGAAAAAAAAGATGAGCACCTGAATGCAACTTGCCACCAAGTCTCTGTCATGAAACCAAATGCCCCTACGAAAGAAAATGCCCCCCTGGGGGACGCAGCACCACAGAGCTGCCCAGAGCCTCCTCACTTCTCCCAGCGGCCCAGCGGGTGCTGTGCTGAGACATGGGCAGCTCCAGGCATTAGCAGCCAAAGGGAAATGTCATTCGGAGTTGTCTCGTCCTGAGTCCAATCCATGCTGTTCTGACACTGGTCCTTTATTTTTGTGTTCTTATTTCTCTGGTTTTTGTATTATGATGGATTCTACATAAAAGAGTTTTTTGTTTGTCAGGAAAAAAAGGTCTGTCATTCAACGGTTGTTGACCAGTTGCACTCTTTTGATGTAGATTTAAGAACTTTTTTCATGAACTTAACCGCTTTTGTTTTGCTCTGTATTTTCCCTGCAGCTGTAATTGCTGAGTGCCTGTTGTATACTTTATAGAGTTGAAATAAAAATAATTACTTTTGAGCAGCGCGTTGACATCTGTCTTCAGCAGGAGTCAGCTTGGGGCTGGTTCTGCTGTTTGGTTGGGTTATTTTACCCTGCTTTGTGGTGATCTGCAGTAGGAGATAGTTAACCAAGCAAAGTGTCGTGTGACACTGCAGGAAGCTGTGGTTGCCGTGGTCAGTAGGCAGTGGCCATGGGCACCCCAGTGGGCAGGCGGGGGTCCTGCATCGCACATCATGGGCACCTCCAGCCCACATTACTCCATGATCACACTGAGCAATAAGCATCTTTACAGCATGTTTGATCTTCAGGGGTGAACAGTACACCCAGTGTTTTATGTGCTGCCATTAGGATCAGCAGCAGGGCATGAAGAGCACAGAGACCCGATGCCAGTTGTGATCAACACCTACACCAGAGTGGCTCACAAGTGATGCTGCCTCTGTCCCTGCTGTCATGCAGGATGAGTGATGGGAGAGGGGAAGGCAAAAAGCTGGCACTTTGCAAGGATACAGGGCTGGTCCCCTCCTTCTGAGCGGAATGCATTGGGGTCAGCGTAAGTGTGGCAATGGCGTGTAATGCTTGCTAGCAGCTGCAGCAGACACCAGGTTTTGGCCCAGTGGGATGTGATGGTGATGGGCTTGATCCCCCCAGGGTCAGCTCAGGCGGCACCACCACGAGCCCAGCTGGGGCTGCATTTTCCCCCAGAACATTCAATTTAAAAAATAAAAGGGAAAAAAAAAAAAAAAAAAAAAAGAAAAAAAAAGAAAGAAAGGAGGAGCACGACGCTACGGGCGCGCGTGGCCAACGGAGTTCTTCTCGCCGCCGTTCCCCGTCGTGGCCGCCAGGGGGCGCAATGGCGCAGCCGCGCCGTCGGGGGGCCCCGAGGGCGAGGGGCGGGGGGAGCCTCTCCTCTTTGATCTCTGCGCATCAAAGGCACAGCCTGGCCCGGCCCCGCTCCCCCCGCCGCGGCGCGGCCCCCCCGGCCGAGGTCAGCCGAGTGCACGGGGGGGCTCCGACGGGGCGGGCTCTCTTCCAGCCCCCCCAAACTCCGCGGGGCCGGGGGTGCTGAGCGGCCCCTTCCTGCGGGTCTGCGCTGGCGCCAGGAAGGGAGCGCGGCGGAGCTGCCGCCGCCGTTGCGAAATCCCCTCCCTCGGGGGGGGGGGGAACAGCGGCACAGCCCCCCGGGGCCCTTTGAAATCCCATCCCTCCTCCCCGAAGGGCGGGCGCAGGAGGCAGCCCCCCGGGTATAAAGAGGCGGCGGCGGGCAGGTAGTGCTGCTCGGGGGCAGGGTGCGCAGCTCGGAGTTGCGGACGGGACGGGGCGGACGGGTCGGGACGGACGGGCGATGCGGGCTCTGCTGGCGCTGCTGGCGGCCCTGAGCTGCGCGGGGCGGGCGGGGGCCGGCGGCGGCCTCAGCTCCAACGCTATCAAGGTGGGGGCGGCCGCCAGCGCCGCCCCCGCCGCCGCCGCCCCTGCGCCCTTCGACGGCAGCAACAAGGCGCCTCCGGCCGCCACCCGGCAGGTAGGAGCGGGGCGGCCCGGGGGCTGCCGGGGGTTACCGGGCGGTGGGAAGCGGCGCTGACCCTCTGCCCGCCCGCAGCCCTTCCCCTGCTCCGAGGACGAGGACTGCGGCCCCGACGAATTCTGCGGAGGGGCGGCCCGCGGCGGCGGCCCCCCGCTCTGCCTCGCGTGCCGGAGACGCCGCAAGCGCTGCTTACGCGACGCCATGTGCTGCCCGGGCACGGCCTGCAGCAACGGTGAGGGGCGGCCGGGCCGTGGGGCGCGCGCTGGGCGGGGAGTTGGGGGGGAACACGCGGGGCTGACGGCGCTGCTTCCCCCTCCCCACCCCGCAGGGCTCTGCACGCCCCCCGAGCCCCCGCCCGGCGTTCCCGAGCTGGACGAACCCGGCCCAGAGGCGCTGCCCCGACGGACGCCCGCGCCCGCCTGGCCGCCCGACGCCAAAGGTAAGTACGGCCCCGGGGAGCGGCGCGGCCGCAAGGCGCCGTCGGAACTCGGCGCTGACCTCCCTCCCGTCCGCAGGTGAGGAGGGCGACTTCTGCCTGCGGTCGTCGGACTGCGCAGCGGGGCTGTGCTGCGCCCGCCACTTCTGGTCCAAGATTTGCAAACCCGTGCTGCGCGAGGGGCAGGTGTGCACTCGGCACCGCCGGAAAGGAGCCCACGGCCTCGAGATCTTCCAGCGCTGCCCCTGCGCCGAGGGCATGGCGTGCCGCCCGCAGCGCGACCGCGGCGGTCCCGACGCCTCCCGCCTGCACACTTGCCAGCGGCACTGAGCGACACCGGGGGGCAGACCGAGGATGGACGAACGGACGGAAGGACAGACGGGGGGATGGACTCTGGCCCCGCTCGTGAGAGCTCCCCGCTGTGTGCACAGCCGGAGCAGAAGGTTGTTTCTCGAGGGAACTACTCTTAAGCGACTGATTGCAGTACGTTACTGTGTTGTGAATATGGAGGTGGCACTTAGTGTACAGACGTTCTGAGCGAGCCTCCCGGACGCTCCTCCAGCCAGGACTGGGACGTGGTATGCGCTGGGTTGCTCTCGATGGACGCGGCCGCCCCTTCAGGTGAAGGGCAGCCCAGGCTGCGCTGTGCCACGCTCCGGGGCGATGCCCTACGGAGGCGGCGGGGTCGCAGAGCGGGACCTCAGCGGCCCCGGCCCTGAGCCGTGCGGTCGCGCCGCTCTGGGCACAATAAAGTTTATTTTTCGCTTCACCTGGCAGTACCTCGCTCAGTTCTTCCCTCGGGGGTGGTGGTGTGGAGGGAGGGAAGGGTGTGAGTGGGAGCTCTCCCAGCCCCTTGCATTGCCATCTGCAGGAATGCTCCTGAAGCACAGCATCCCTTCGGTGTTTTACCGCAACCTGACCTCCGGTACTAATGCCTGTGGCATTAACTCTCCTGCTTAGAGACCTCTGGGGCTACCCAGACTGCTGACATATCAGGGACAGAGCCTGACAGAGCTACCTGCAATATGTCCGTGCACCGAGAGTGACTGCTATCAGAGAGTGGCTGAGGTTGGCACTGGCTGCCCCAGCCTAGCACTGAGCCAAGGGAATGGGTTCAGGGCAGCTGTGCTCACAGTGCAGGGAATGGATTCTCCCAGTGCTGCAGCCTGAACCGGTGCTTGGAGCATCCCAGCCAGTGAGGTCATGCTTCAAAGGCTTGAGCACTGCAGTTACTTTTATAAGTAGTTATTGTTTTTTTTTAAAAAAAGCACTGTTCTACAACACAGCAGTTGCAATCGTGCCCAACACCAGTCACTCACGCTGGGGCAGTGTCAGCAGCTGGCTGTGTGCAGAGGCACGGGTGGTATTTAGATGCACTCAGCTCTGGTGCTGAGGTGATGTATTTCGTCTCTGACATACAGAACAGTATCATTCAGTTCAGCACCGCAGCGTATCAAACCTTTCCCACTCACCTATTCACTTTTCGCATCCTCTCCGTGAGCACAGCCCTTGGGCCGCCCCTTCAGCCGCCGGGCGGCAGCTCCACGTCCCCCTGCAGGGGGTTAGGGGAAGCAGAACACGCACTGATCAGACTTGGAAAGGACGGGCTGAAGCGGTCCCCTTACTTTGAATTTACTGCTGCCTGCACGCGGCTCAACTGCCGCGGCTCTTTGACATCAGTGTCTCAGGATGGCATCGGTGAAATGATTCACCGGGGAGAAATAAAAGATCAAAGCATGTGCAGGAGACACAATAAGCAGGTTTTGTTGGGGGGGATGGATGGGGGGGGGGAAAGAGGCTTAGCACCCCTTGTTTATGCGCTGCTCCTGGTCATACAGCTGAAAGCATTAACAGAGGTGATCTAAGAAGTTATATATCATTACTGGCACTGATAAACAGTAAAGCTGTTCTTTGTTTCTCAGAGCAGCAGAAGAGCATCTAATACACATTCCCCATCTGTCAGAGGTGTGCGTTATTGCTGAGGCACTGTGTGCATGGTTTGATGTGTGACATTTCTGTTAGAGCCTATGGTGTGCCCACTTCAGTACCATGGTCCATGTGGGGCCGTTCTGGAGGTGCCTGCAAAGGCTGGGCTGGACTTTGGAGCTCTCTGAGAGCGGCTGAGCCTTCCAGAGGGATGATTCAGCAGGAGGGGGCTGGTGGAGGGCTCAGCCTCTCCAAAGTGATGCATATCACTGTTTACTGACTACTGCTTTTTTTGCAGCTTCCACACCCCCAGTGCCTGAGCTGTGTCCCTAATTAACAGCAGAGGATGAGACGAAGACAAGCCAGAGCCTTTGGGATGCTTCTGGGCAGAGCCCGGGGAGGGACCAGACCCGTTAGCGGCTGATTGAGGTGGGTAATTAGGCATCGGCATGCAAATGGACACAGCCCACGGAAAGGCTCGGCTGGGAGTCAGGGATGCTTTTAGGACTGAGCCCCTTCGGTTCCAAGCTGGGTCAGGAGAGGATTTCCCCCCTTTGAAATAACGAGGGGAGCAACTAATTATTACTTTTTGTCTGTTTTTTTAGGTACTGGCACCACAGGGCCCTGCAGTTGGCTGTTGGCTCTTAGAGAACGTGTTGTGGGGCTACAAGCATGTGGGTGTCAGGCACACAGAAAGCGCTGCTCTACTGTTTTCTTTTCTTTTTAATTTTTAACTAAGCTTCCTTTCAAGATGCTGATTTTCAGAAGGGTTAGTAGTTGTATAAGAGCTCCAGTACTGGAAACATGACCCTTGGCAAACCAGGCCTCCAACCCATCCTTCCTGATTTCCTCCTCGGAAAGTGAAAAATCCATCTTTGTCATGCCTGATGGAGGGCTCCTAGCAGAGCACTTTGTCTGCCTGCACCAACAGGCGGATGTGCTTTCAAAAACACAAAATGGAAACATTTGATTCTACTGCACGCTTTTCAGTTAATATCCCTGTTGGGGGTTTTATGAGAATTATAATGGCTTTGGTGTGTTTTGAGTCCCTCAACAAAGAATGAAAAGCCTTCTCAAGCCAAAATGTAGTATACGTTCAAAAATGGATTTGTTTGTTATTTTTTGTTGCAACAGTGCAACACAGGCATTCCTGTATTGTTTTGACCTTGTGCCTTACAGTTAGTTCTCCATCTCCTATTGATTCCTTCTGCTGCTCTGCACCTTTCCAGCTGGCCCCATGAGGTTAGGGGGGCACTTCAAGGTGACAACCCAGTGAGAAGTCAGATGGTCCTGGCCAGGTGGGTTCTGGACTCCGGTTCTCGTGCCCAGGCACTTTTCTCTGACTCTTCCCCATGCACTGCATTACAAACCAGCTTTAGGCAGTTCTGATGGCTCAACCCACGCTGACCTTTCCCTGTGGCTCTGCTGTCCCAGGCACCGCACGTTTCTGAGGCTCAGCTGCACCAGCTAGAGGAATGCCTGGCCATAAATGTTCATGCAAGAAACTCAGTTCCTTCTGGCCAAGGTCCAGCCTGAGCAGGGAATGAGCAACGGCCTTGATAGCGAACAAACCCAGATCCCTTCCCCTATTTGGACACTTGCATCTTGCATTCAAGGATGCACAGGCTGTGCTCAAAGTGAAGAGCCCAAGAAGATCCCCTGTCCCTCCAGAGGGATCACTTAATCTCTAACCTTTTTTTTTTTTTTTCTCGTCAAGACAAAGCACTGATATGAGCAATATTAAAGTATTTTTTCCCCCCATGGGTTGGGAAGAGCTTCCAGTCCCTGCTTGGAGAGGTGCTTTTTGGGGGCAGATAGGGACATATTGTGGAATCACAGAATCATAGAATGGCCTGGGTTGAAAAGGACCACAATGACCATCTATTTTCAACCCCCTGCTATGTGCAGGGTCGCCAGCCATCAGACCAGGCTGCCCAGAGCCACATCCAGCCTGGCCTTGAATGCATCCAGGGATGGGGCATCCACATCCACAATCTGTTCCAGTGCGTCACCACCACTTCTGACTCATAAATCTTATGTCTGATAACAAAAAAGCAATAGGGGTATGAAAGGGAAGCCCTGGCAACCTGAATTACTGATGTTTTAATTCTTGCTTTGGGATTTTTGTATTCCCCCAAAGGAGCTCAGAAGCAGTTAACATCATGCCCTGCACAGAGGCATCGATAGGAAGATGTAGGGTGGGTTCCCAGCGGACTCACACTAGGATTTCCCAGGCTCTGTCCTTATGCTTCTGGAAGCCAAAGTGGTTGATGGGAAGAGAAAAATCCCTCCTGTAACTCATGGCACTGAAATACTCGTCATGTGCACAGAAAATTTCTTCAGATGAGGGTTTTCTGGAGCTGTAAACACATTCACATATATTTTTAGGTATCGTGTTCTTAAAAAATATCATTCAGTCCAGCTTTTGAGTGTAAATCTTGCTCAGACCCCTGTTTAAGCCCATCAGGATTTTTCTGGTTGACTTACGTTGTGGCATCATGGCACATAGTTTCGACAGGTTCCTTATTTCCCAGCAGAATCTCCTGTTCCTTCCACTGCTAGCAGTTTACTGACCTGTTGAATATTGAGTTACTTGCTGCCCTCTAGGTTCTTATTTGACCTTTTGTTATTAGAGTTCATAAAAGAAAAGCCAGGAAGCCAGTAGTGCATATTTGAAAGCCCAGGTATTATCTGTAGCCCTCATGTTTGTATGTGTTTTATTTTTTCCCCTGTTCAACAGATCAAAGTCACTACACTTTGGTTCTGTGTTTGGGAAAAGCCCACATTCTGCCCCAGGAGTTTTCTAACTTCACACAGGGTCTCATTGGCAGGTCCTGTGGTGGTGATGTGTTCCACAGGCTAACAGTGTGTGCCCCACCTGCTTCACAGGTATGAATGTGTCTGTGTAACACAAGCACTGCCCTCAGATCAGAGAACCTGGGCTCAGTAAGTATTTAAACCCACGCTGGCAGTGGGGCTGGCCCCACGGTGGTGTTTCTGATGGCCTTCTTCAGCTCCTCTGTTTAGGTCATTCTTCACTGTGCCAGAAATGCTACAGCCTAGGAAGGCAAACTCTTCTTATTTAGGTGTCTTGATCTGTATTTAGATCAGAGTCTGCCTTAAGCTGTGGGAAAACATTGCCTGTGGATTTAAAGAACGTTGTTTAAGTAATGTAAATAGTAAAGCAAGATGCTTTCAAAGCTGGAGTTTCCTTTGTTGTCACAACTTCTTACTGCTGCGTAGTCCATTATTGTTAAATACCTTCACTGTCATTAAAAAACAGCACCTTTTCATCATAGAGTTAAGTGCATTCTGTAGGAAAGTGTGGGTAACTCAATGATCAGAGTTTTTTATTTCTTTTATTTATATTATACTTTAAATAGAAAAATACATTGGTTTGCATA